TCGACAATGCATTTCAGGTTGGAAGGATGGGTGGTCAATTTGCGAAGCCAAGATCGAACCCAACTGAGACTAGAGATGGGGTAACCCTTCCATCCTACAGAGGGGATATCATCAACGATCAGGCTTTTGATGAGGAATCTCGTGTACCAGATCCTGACAGATTGATTAGAGCCTATACCCAGTCTGCGAGCACCCTGAATCTTCTCAGAGCATTTGCCCATGGAGGTTTTGCGGATCTTCAGAGAGTCACCCAGTGGAATCTCGACTTCTTGAGGCACAGCACACAAGGAGACAGGTCCTTAGCTATTGTCGTCTGAGTAACTATGCCTTCTGCAATTAATTTTATGAAAAATACTCATTTCACTATAATAATATAGTGACAGCATCAGGGTGCAAAATTTGTCATTGAAAACTTCACGTGTTTTACCTTTTCTACGAGCAGAAAATTCAGAGTGCAATATCAACAAATAGGGGCGGGGGTTCGGGGGTTTTCTCGGTCGGGTGAGAAGGTCCTTCTTATTTGAAATGCTGCGAGGCAGTCTTAACCCCCCGGTCGAGTTTTTTTTTAATATAATATAATATTTTGTCTATCCTACTGCTACATCAGACCATTTTAGTACAGTCATGCTGGCACACTATATATCATAGGTTCATAATTAGTGCTAATGTGGTATTCATTCTTAGTCAATTATTAATCTACAGAAGTGCAGATCATATATATGTTAACTCCTTGCGCTGGCAGGTATCTGGAGCTTTCTCAGAGGGTTCATGACGCCATTGGGTTTATGGTTGCCGCTGGGCTGACCCCTCAACACCCCATCATGACCACAGCTGAGTTATGGACATCCCATGAGTGCCTTCACTTACCATACGAGCAAGCACTGACTAGGAAGGATTCCATTACTGGTCTGTACTATGGCTGTTCCGCACACATGCTTTGGGTCGGTGAGAGGACTCGGCAGCTGGATGGTGCTCATGTTGAATTCCTTCGTGGTATTTCAAATCCTCTGGGTATAAAGGTAATAGCCACCTACGAGAGACTGTCTGGATAACATTTACAGTTAACATCTTTTCATATAATATATATGTATCGAAATCCCAATTTTTGCATCTTACTATTATTGATCGATGCAATTCTCATCTGTGGTCTCAAATAACAGCTGAGGTGCTTTAGGTTCAATTCACATGGCACCTGGTAGTACTTTTATAGGGTGTTTGGTTTGAGAAATTACTATATTCTAGATGAGGTGGTGCATCATGAGTCCGTACTCAAATTTGGTGGAATGACTCTATTTCTTTTGTACTAGTACTAACTGTTAGATCATGAAAAGTGAGATGATGATGGATCTACACATTACATTCCACAAACCAAACAAAAAAGTGAGGAGTGATTAGATGATTGACTAACTCATTCAAACCAAACACCCTATTAGTTATCAGGGCTCATCCTTTTTTTAGAGAAAACGTTCACAATGCAGTATTATATTGTAGCCTTTAGTATTATTAATTACTGTATTGTTGAGTACAGTAGTCAGCACAATGCCATTTCTCAGCAGTTATGAAGAGAAGCATATTAGTTACTGTTTTTATTATTATCTTAAAAGAATAATTACATGGCCGGTATTAACTTGTATATGTTATATAGGTAAGTGATAAGCTTGATCCATCAGAGCTTGTGAAGTTGTGTGAGACTCTGAACCCTCACAACAAGCCAGGGCGATTGACGATTATCACAAGAATGGGGGCTGAGAACATGCGTGTTAAGCTTCCACGAATGATCAGAGCAGTGCGCCAAGCTGGGATGATTGTTACTTGGGTTAGTGATCCTATGCACGGAAACACAATCAGTGCACCATGCGGACTGAAGACAAGATCATTTGATGCAATCAGGGTAACAACAATCTTTTTTTCATGATTCGTTAAGGAACTGCATTACACTCTGTATTTGATACTAGTTGGTACAACGGTACTTGCATGTGCAGGCTGAACTCAGGGCTTTCTTCGATGTTCATGGGCAAGAGGGAAGCCACCCTGGAGGGATTCACCTGGAGATGACAGGGCAGAATGTTACAGAGTGTATCGGGGGATCTAAGGCGGTAACATTTGATGATCTCAGTGCCCGCTACCACACGCACTGTGACCCCAGACTGAACGGGTCGCAGTCCCTCGAGCTGGCTTTCGCCATTGCTGACAGGTTAAGGAACAAGAGAGACAAGGCATGGCATAATTTGACATCCAGAGTTGTTGCCTAAGAGGATAAGAGATGAAGCGTGAATTTCATCACCAATAAGCGATTCACAGCCACTAGAGAAGATGTATTCACATCCTTTAGTTCTTTTTCTATTAAAAGTAGGAGACATTTGATTTTCGGCAGTACAAATGAAGAAATGATTAATCCCTAGCTACCTGTTCTCAAAATAATATAATGCCATTTTGTTCAACAAAGCCCGGACCTGAAGATGGTTAAGCGATCAGTCAAAGCAACGCAATAAGTTTTTTTCTCTCCATGCTATCGATGAGGTCAGTACGAGGATATTATCTTAATTATGCTTTGTTTGGAGATTTTTCATGTTCAACCTATTTTCAATCAATATTTTAAAAATAATATTTTCAAAAGTTATTTTCAAATCTAACCTGTTTAATCGCGGCAGTCTACGTGGCACAACTAAATCACACTGTCGTGACACGTTGACACATGTATTGGTGTGACAAGGCTACCAAGTTAGCATCACAAATTTGACCTCACGCTGCTCCATTTGGCGCGGCAGCAAAGGGGTGCCCAGCCAAATCTCGTTTTCAGTTAACTTTTCTATTCATTATTATGATTTGATCTCACAAAACTTAACATATTGTATAAAGTGTAAACAATATATTTGTTGTACGAAGTATGAACAATATATTTTGTATTATAAAGTGTAACCAACTGATTTTAGTGAACGAGCACAAGCTGTTGATCTGCGGTTCATGCTTGATTATCTTCTTCCTCTTGTCTCGATCCAAAACGTTCGTCCCCTGCTAGTTTGTAACACATGCTGGCCTTCATCTCAGCAGGTACTAGGAAGGTAGCTCTCCACCTTTGTCAATTATTATTCGTGAATCGATAATGATACCACAAGAACGTCTGTCCGTAACTCCTGTTCGGAAGTGCTCCCACAAAAAAAAAAATCCCGTCCACTCGTTCTCTCCCACGGCGCCTCTGTCCGCGCCCAGTCGCTGCACCTGCCACCGACCCCTTGTTCCCGTCCTCCGCCCGGCCAGAGCTCTCCGCCGACCCTCCCCCCGGTCAGGCTGGCTCGCTCGACCAGCAGGCTTGGGCGGCTCGCGCCATCACTGGCCTGGCCCCCTCGCTTCCCCTCCAAATGCACTGCGATTGACGGCGGTATCTCGCATCTCGCCCAAAGCTCGTCGGCGGCCTGTCCCCGCCACCCCCTCCGCCCACCTCCAGAAGTGGCCACAACGACGTTGCCCTCCTCCCGCCCATCCCCCGCTTGCAAGGGTGAAAAACGCATGTTGTAAGCATATGTTTCAGATGTTTCATAGGTATGTTGCAAATATTTTATAATGATGCTGCAAAAGTAAATCGGGATGTTGCATATGTTGCAATAGTTGTACACGTATGTTGCAAGCTTCTGTTCACAATGTTTCATCTGTTTTTTCCGATGTATGTTACAAGTGTGTTTATTTTGATGTTGCATATGTTTCACACATGTGTTGCAGGTGTTTTATCTGGATGTTGCCTATGTTTTACAATGATTTTGAGTTGTTTTTGCAAATGCTTCATATGCATGTTCTAAGTGTTCCATCTGTTTTGAGACGTATGTTGCAAGTGCTACATTTGGATGTTTAAAAAGTAGATCAGGTGTTGCATCTTGTTTCCTCCTCGCCTTCGGCTACCTCGCCTCGGTGTCTCCACCTTCTCTCGGTGCCGGCTAGGCATCCAAGCCAGAGGCGCAGGCGAGCGCCGCCCCCTCCCCTTCTACTCGATGCTAGTGGTGCGTCATGGGATGGTGGGGACGGGTCGCCGCGAGTGCACGCGTGGGGGTTCCGTTACGTGGGGGAGGGATATGTGCGCTCGTTTCTTCTGTTATATGCGCTGAGATCGAACGGCTCATATTCCTTGAATCGGATGGCCCTAAACTACGTCCGAGCGCTACTCGTCCCGTGAATAAATTGAATTGGATATGTGTTACAATTATGGGTTAAGAAGGTGGCCCGGAATGAGCTTGGGCAAAGGGTTGTGCTTGAGCAAAGGGTTGTGCTTGAAGTCTAAATTATATTGATCATATCATAATATTATTAAGGTGGTGTTTAAATCAGGGGCGAAAGTTTATGGGTGTCACATCGGATGTCAATTAGGGGGTCACGTGGAAGTGTTCGGACAATAATAATAAAACAAATTACAGAAGTCCTCATGAATCCGCGAGACGAATTTATTAAGCCTAATTAATCCGTCATTAGCACATGTTTACTGTAACACTGTATTGTCAAATCATAGACAAATTAGACTTAAAAAATCGTCTCGCAAAGTAGTCGTAATCTGTGCAATTAGTTATTTTTTAGCCTATATTTAATACTTCATCCATATGTCAAACATACTATATGATATGAACTGAATTTTAGGGGGCTAAACCTATTCGGAAAGAAATGCATGATGGTTGCTTCTTCCCAGCATGTTTGTCACCGCAATTCACGATTTCTATCTTATGCACTTGCTAGATTCTTGCGTCTCGCCCGTGTCGTCTAACGTCAAGGGTTGATCCGATCCGAGCCGTCCATCTGCCACCCGTACAGTTGGGCCCAGCCCACTGGATCCGAAACCGATAGAAAAAAAAAAGAAAACAAAATATAGCTGCAAAAGCATCTCCCGGAATCAAACCGCACCACGTCGTCAGTCACGCTCACACAAACACGACAAGCGGAGGAAAAGAGTGGCGGAGCACCAAAGCAAAGCAGCAGTTGCGGTTGCGGCGGCGGCGGCGGCGGCGGCAGTGGCAGTGGCGATGGCGATGACTGCGAAGCGAGGCCCAAGCGGCGATGAGATGCGCGGCTCTGGTCACCGCGCGCGCGCCCGCCGCGTCGAGGAAGGAGAGACGGACCATCCTTCCGCCGCAGAGCTCCGAGCCAGCCTCTCCACCAGGGATCAGGTGCGTGCGTGCGTGCGTGCGGTGTGCGCCTGCGCGCGCGCTTGTTTTGCAATGTCGCCTCCTACCTTTGCGTGAATATAAGGACTCGCTCGAGCGATTAAGGTCTCGTATCGTTTGCTTTGGTACGGCAGTGCTTATGCGTGTTAGGGTATTGTGGGCTGCAGGAGATTGAAGAAATGCGGAGGCGGCTGCGGGAGTTGGAGAAACTCGAGTTTGAGATACCACCCGCCCCATCTCATGGTAATTCGTTTTGCTAATAAACACACACCATCTCTGTTTGCCTTGTTTTGGTGTAAGCTGACCGCTGAAGTAAACTGCGGGTACCGGGATTTTATTTATTTATTTACTTTGCCAGACAGCATGCTAATTTAACCATTTTAGTGGTCTGTGACTGAATTTGTGGTGTGGTTTGTTTGCCAGAGCATGTAGTTCGTTCTGGTGCTATGTAGTTTTCTTCAGTTTACTGCCTATAAGTGATCTGTTTGGATCCACCCAACTAAAGTTTAGCTAGCTAAAATTTCAAAGCTAAAATTTCAAAGCTAAAAGTTCTTCCAGCTAAACTTTAGCTGGGGTGTTTGGATCCTCTAGCTAATAGACTAAGCTAAACTTTAGCTGAGTTTAGCTGGGTTGAAATAGCTAAACTCAGCTAAACTTTAGCTGATCTTTTAGCTGGACTGTTTGGATCCCCAGTAGCTAAATTTAGCCAGCTAAAGTTTAGTTGTTGGATCTAAACAAGCCTGTTTGAGGAGATGTGTTATGTGGTTGCAGTAAGAGCGGTGGATGATGCATTTCGGCATTCTCATGTGTTGTGTGGATTGACTAACATTATGTCTGTTTGCCTCCATCATTTGTTATGTTGGTCAGTGGTAGTATTTTGTACTGAAATACATAATGGTTGATATATTGTGATCAAAGCATGACTAGTATTGTTACAATTCAGCATGTAAGCTTGGTTACTTATCGAATGCTTGTGCTGCAGCTAAGCATTACTTTGAGTGGCTGTCATAAGTGATCAGCCAGACTGTCGGCGATGCTTTTTGCAACCACATTCTGGCATTGAACATCTCAAGTGTATTACAATGTTGGTCATGTGGTCAATTATTGCATTTCTCATGTGTTGTGTGATTGACAAAAATTATGTCTGTTTGCCTCCATCATTTGTTATGTTGGTCAGTGGTAGTATTTTGTACTGAAATTGAACAGATTTTGATGAAGACATAATGATCTTGTGATCAAAGCACGACTAGTATAGTTACAATTCAGAAGGTACGCTTGCTTGGTTACTTATTGAATGCTTGTGCTGCAGCTAAACATTACTTTGAATGACTGTCATAAGTGATCAGCCAGACTGTCGGAGATGCTTTTTGCAACCACATTCTGGCATTAAACATCTCAAATGTATTACAATGTTGTTCATGTGGTCAATTATTGCATTTCTAGATAGAGTAATCGGAGACATCAGGCCTAAGCTGCATTTTGATGTTTGCATAGTGTTACTTGAGTGTCTCCTAGGATTCAATTATGAGCCCTGTACTACTAGGAAATATGTGCAAGCTCAGAACTGCTAGGAAAGAGAGTCCCACCTTAATCCATTACGTCTCTTGCAGCCAAACTTTTTTATTTGATACAGAGTTCAGTGCAAACTCTCATGAGGTTACACTGAAAAAATAAAAATACCATTTGGCGGAGGTGGTTTGATCATTGCGCAAGAGGTGAGTGCGCCATAAGTGCTGCTCAGCATGCTTGGAGGAGACAACTGATGGATGGTTCTTTGTTCTGGAAGACTACTTCATTCTGGATCTTCCAAAGTTGCCTACAGCATAGAAGGACAAGGCATGCGGCATGTTTTAGCAGCATGCATTGGGTATCTGGTTCCTGCTAACAGCATTTAAGTAAACACTGAAAAAGATTATTGTGATGTATTTTGTCCCTTAGATACAGTTTATTGTTGTGATAGTGGACATTTCCATCTGATGAACTATATATGGTTTCTCTCTCATGTGGGCATGGGCACCCTAAGCTACAAGTTTTCTTTTCTGATAATACAAGTATTTATGCATACAACTATTCTTGCATAGGGCACCACAATGATGCTAATGCTATATGCCTATATTCCATAGAAGGAACATTTTGTACACATAGAGACAATGTGACTAAAGCAGTAAAGCTTATGCTCAGCTTAATTACTTGCAGACATCTTTTTCACCTCATTGGTACTTCTACAGTTCTACTTCTGAAAATTTATAGGCAGTGACGACAAACTTTCAGATGATCTTGTTTAGAAAGTGAGTTCTGCAAATATTCTGAAAATAGTATTGTGTATAAAGTATATGCCACATACCATACCTCTGCTTATATATCTACTTAATTTGTAAGTCCATCTATACTTTATACAATCATGGGTACTGATTACATAGCTTTGTTACTGTGCTTGTAGTATCTTTTTCTTGTTACAGGCTTCATAATTTCTGATTGCGAGTACGGTGTAGTAATTTCATTTTTCTCAGCCCCACTGCTTCAATGGAATACTGCTCCCATTTTCCCACTAAGCTATATAGCTGTTTACCACTCTTTTTATTTGTTTGTATTCACAGAAGAAGAATCTGAAACAGCTGTGGCCGCAACAACAGTTGACAAGGCAGAGGTGGATGTTCGCTCCATCTATGTTGGGAATGTGAGTTTTCTTCTCTTGTACCTCTTGTCCTAGTGCTATTCAAGCATGTCCTAAACACCTGACAAATGTCCTGCAGCTCTTGAGCAATGATTATGTCACTAAAATGAACTCCAGTTGTTGTTGAACTTTTATGCCTGCGGCCTGCCTATGTTCTTTAGTTACTGTAACTGTTTCTTCCTGTGGCTGGGGTTTGTGGCATCTTATATGTTTTGAAAAAAGAATACTTGTCCCTTAAAAATGCATTAAAATTGGCAACATGTAGTTCTTAGTTTGCTACGATTGTGAGTAAGATGTAAACCATGTGCCACCTTGCTTCAGGTTGACTATGCTTGCTTGCCGGAGGAAGTTCAGCAGCATTTTCAGTTTTGTGGAACTATCAACAGGGTGACAATCTTGACAGACAGCTTTGGTCAACCCAAAGGGTTTGCTTATGTGGAGTTTGATGAAGTTGAGGCTGTCCAGAATGCTCTCCTTTTGAATGAAACAGAACTTCATGGTCGTCCTTTGAAGGTCCAAATGACTTGGTTTCAACTTTCGAACATTTATTTTGTCAATTTTTGTCTAATCTTCATTCTGAATGTAGGTTTGTCCAAAAAGAACCAACATTCCAGGAATGAAGCAATCTAGGGGAAGGCACTCAGTTTATCCTTTCTATGCATCTTATGGGTAAGGAGTTTTTCTTCATGAAGATACATTACACGTGGATGTGGAAAGATGGTAAACATGGAAGTGCTATTTTGACTAGTTGCAATCAACACATTATCACTTTTTGAGGTACTTGAGCTTCTCCACCATTGAATCTGGGTCAAATGACTAGGACTGGCATTTGTGGAATCTCAAACTTAACCCCCCGCCCCCAAAAATAAAATCTCCCTACCTCTCACCTTTCAGAGCTAACATTTACCAAACAACGTATCCATTTTTGTGTGAAAAACATGCCTTATGAGTCATCCTGGGGAATACATGACTGAAAAGTTCGAAGAAGTTGACCTGAATCCTGGGGAAAGCATGACTAAAATGTTTTTAGTAAAGTTGACCTGGGAAAGCAAGCCTTATTATTTATGAAATGTGGATGGTTTCCTTATTCATCAGAATGTTATTTCTAATGTTTGTTTTATTTGCTCTGCAGGAAGGTACCAAGATTCAGGAGGTTCCTGGGGTACAGCTACAGCCCTTACTACTAATCCTACTGGGTTGATGTGATTCACTGAGCCACTCAGTTTTGTAAAGCTAGCAAATGTCCCCAACATATCGTGGTACAGAACTATAGTTCGAGTATTGTGCATCCTGAATAGGCAGGCCCGGAAGACTCAGGTCTTACATAGTTTTTTCGTTTCGTAAGCAAATGTCCCCAACATATCGTGGTACAGAACTATAGTTCCAGTATTGTGCATCCTGAATAGGCAGGCCCGGAAGACTCAGCTCTTACATAGTTTTATCTGTTTTGTGTTTTTCAACTCCTGTGTTCCAAATGGGCTCTTAATCCAAATGTTCTATTTGGCCCGTTCGCTTTGCTGAAAAAACAAGCCAAAACACTGTTCTGCCTGATTTGTTGTGAGAGAAAAATACTGTTCCGGCTGAAAAAACAAGTTGAAAAATACTGATTATAAGAGAAGCGAACATGACGATGTGTTGCACTACGTGCTTAGTGAGAGTTAAATGGGTGCAAATTTGCTCTCTTTTTTTCACCTTCAGGATTTGAAAGGTTCTGTCCAATACACGTGTGCTTAGATATTTCATATTTCCAGGGTTCCTACGCCGAATAATTCTGAGCTTCTTACTTTCTAGATTTTCAAACTGAAGTGCGATTTCGGATTTCATATACCTGAATGCTGTTCTACATCAGCAATAAGCTTTCTGATTGAGTTTGTCTATGCCGTGCTCGAGTGTCCGAACATTTTTTTTTCTTCACCGTCTTCTTTGTCCTCTTAACGCGCCGCCACCTCGCCGTGGCATGGTAGGGTCTCGCCGGAGCTGCGTGGCTGTGACCGCGGCCGTGGAGCTCTCTGGCAAGACCCTACTGTGCCCATGGCCGTGGCTGTTATCGTAATGCTTCTGTTCCTACGGCTGTGTTTCGCTTGTGACAGATCTGAGGCATTTCCTTAGCGATATGGAAGGGCATTCATGCAACAGTCTCAACTAGATGCACGCTTCAAAGCCTGACTGACTGACTGCAACATGTAGCCCCGTTAGTGCTGCATCTTAGGAAACATTCCTGACTTTCAGACCAGCGAACGGGGCCTTAGTCCTGTCTGGCTGTATAATCTAGTACTGCAGTTTGCTCACAAAACAGGGCGAACCTCAGTGAAATATAGAGATTCCACATGCTTGCTCACCGAATATCTCGAATGCAGCAAGAGTCTAGCAAGCAAACTCAACAAGAAAATTGACAACGAGCAGATGCCATTTGAACAAGCTGCAGTGTTTTAACATTACAGCAGCAGCTCATCATAAGTTCTCATAATTCATAACACAAGTAATTCACTGAATACAACTGAGACTTTCTAATTTCTAACATCAATAACATCACTGAATACCCCCCCTTACCATATCCCTACACCTACATCCTTTGCCCCAAACCCCCTTGTTCGGTCCAATTCACCATCCATACACAATAAGATTAAATTGCTACTAACATCAAAGTCAACAACTACTAGCATGAACAGCAGTTAACACAGAGCGAGCAAGCATGCACACAAGGTTCACAGAGCAGAACTAGAGCAGCCGGCGGGGCTACATCGATCGATCAGTCCTCTTCCATTGCGGCAGAGGGAGGGGAGACCCTGGCCTTCTTGTTCTGCTGCTGCTTACCGAGGAAGGCCTCAAGGAAGAGCTGCTGGGCGTCGAGCATCGTCTGGGTGCGCTTCATCTCCGACTCCATCCTTTCCTTCTCCATCTGCAGCGTGAGCTCCAGCCTGCGCTCCTCCATACGCAGGAACCCCTCCCCGACCGCCCGCAGTGCGTCAGCCACCTCCGCCATGGCCTCTGACTCGGCGTCGTCCTCGCCGCCGCCGCCCCTCTCCGGCTTCACAGCTGCCACGGCGGCGGGCTTCGTGCGGGAGGCCTTGGGGATGGTGAAGCGCAGCCCGCTCCCGGCCCCGCCGTTGGAGATGAGCCCGTGCAGGCTCCTGCTCCGCACAGCCTCCTCGGATGAGGAAGGGGAGGACACGGGGGAAGGCGGGGACGCCGGCGGGGCGGGGCCCTTTGTCTTGATCTTGACGATGGCGTTGGGGCTCGGGTCCGGCACGCCGCCACCGGCGAGGTCGTGGAGGAGCGGGAAGAATGGCCACTTGGGCCCCTTGGACCGCCCCGCGGAGCGCGACCGCTCAGCGCGGTATCGCTTCCGAAGCTTCTCGATCTTGTGGCGGCACTGCACGCCGGACTTGTGCGTGGCGGTGGGGAACCGCCCGCAGCGCGCGGTGACGGTGTTGGCCACGGCGTCCCAGTCCGCGGCCCGCAGGTTGCCCTTCCGCACCGCCTCCCACCTGTGGCGGTAGGCCTCGATGAGCGCGAGGGTCTCCTCGTGCGTCCAGCACGGCGGCGGCAGCCTCCGGCCGGAGCCCCCGCCCCCGAGCCCTATGCCTCCCCCCGAGGAGGCCGCGGCCGCGGCCGCAGCAGCCGCCGCGGCGACGGGCGCGGCCAGAGGGGGCAGGTCGGGAGATGAGACGGCGTCGTCCCTGGCCGCGTCGGAGGACGATGAAGACATGGCCGGTCAGCTGTGGCGGCGGCGGCTAGGGTTTTTGGTGGTGGTGGTGGTGGTGGTGGTGGAGATGCGGAACGGAGGCGGAGGTGGGGAACCGGTCATAAAAGGAGGAGTAGGCGGGGCGGTGCGGTGGTGGGCCGCGGGCGTGGGCCGCGCCCCCGCGGTGAAATGACCGGCTGGGGAGGGCATCGCCCACCGGCCACCGCTGCGGCCGCGTGGGCGGGCGGAGCGGTGCGGTGGTTTTGCTTGCGGGGTTTGTCGCAGAGTCGCGTACTCGCGGCGCGCGGCGGATGGATGAGGGCTGACCGGCTGAGGGCATGAGGCCGTGAGGGAAGGGGGCGCGATGGAACGGCACGAGGCCACGGGAGTACGGCGCGGCGCCGCATCGTGCGGAGCCCGTGCCGTGGTGGGCGTGGGCGCGGGAGCCCGCCTCCGCTGCTCCGCAGCCGCGCGGCGTGGCCGTGTGCCGTGTTGGATCGGGATGGGTGGTTTGGGTGGGTGGCGACTGGTGAGTGGCGGCCGCCCTGCCTTTTTCCCTCGGTTCCGCGCGGCATCGGCCTGATTTTTTTTTTCTTTCCGATTCCGAAATCAAGCCAGGGGCGATGTTCAGTTCGCGTGAGTGCGTGACGGTGACGGAGTAGGCTGTCGGCCACGCGCCTACGACGATCGCTCAGCATCAGGGAACCCGCGGGCCGCAGCAGTACAGTAAGGGCATGTTTAGATCCTCCAGAAGTATCTGGCTTTTGAGAATGAGGTGGAATCCAAAACATGCTAGTTTTATCAGTTTTATGGTCAGTTTTTGTCAAATTTTAAAAATCAGGAAACCGTTGATACCTAACTTTTATCAGTTTTGCCAGATTCTTAGAAAACAGCGAGCCGTTAATACTCATCTTTTGCCAGATTCTTAGAAACCAGGAAGCCATTAATACTCATCTTTTGTCAGTTTCTTTGACCCAAAGAACAATAAATGAAGTCATATTCTTAAAAAAAACTGGGGATCCAACACCCCTACTAATTTTTTCTTAGAATCTAAATTTTAGAAACTAGAGGGAACAACTGGTTTTTAATAATCCAAAACCGATCCAAACAGGACCTAAGCAGTCACTCATTTACAGTGTTCATGTAATAGATAACAGAAGGTAAAATTCAAACTCTCAATTCTCCTGAATAAAATATCCCCGTTATCTGAAAGTAGAGCAAGTGGTATGTTGGGGACTTGGGGGAGTTACACCCTTTCGGCACCCCTCACTCCACCTTCCACCGTCCAGATGTTTAGTTGGTTTCGTTCCTTGTTCGGGCCAAGAACCCCAAAGGACCAAGGAGCGGAATGGTGAAGGAGCTAGGGGTTCAGAGGCGAGGAACAATAAATAAGCAGCTTGTGGGCATAAGTGATAACCTGCATTTCACTGTTCCTCACCTTAATGACTCTCTTTTCGTCGCTTCTAATCTTGGGTACGCCTTTCGCCGCGAGCGCCCGTCAATTGTGGGCGTGTTTTTAGATTTCACCGTGGCGAAACCAGAAGACGACAAAGGAAGGCGAAATGGCGGAAGGAAGCCAGGAGTCGAAGACGTCGATTCATAGGTGGCGAAGTGAGAGTTAACTAAGTGGACCAGCCACGAGCGGAAGACGGCGGCAACCAGGGAAGGTCACTACATCAGGACCGGATCGTCCCCGCATGGCGAGAATATGCCAGGAATCTAGAGCGGTGTGAGGGTATTTTAGTCCAGTAAAAGCCTACAGACATGTATAAATAAATATAAATATAGAGACCCGAGTGGGCATGTTAAGGGGATGATGAATAATGAAATTGACATTCTAGTGATTCACTAGGACATCTTATTCGCTCTTCACTTCGCTGTGTCCACTTTGCAGGCTTGCGACCATTTTGCAACAACCCGGTGTTCAAAGGCTAAGGCCTAGAACAATATGGTATGTTGCCAATTTTTTCATTAACCAATTGTATTTTATAATAGACTACATTACAAATATATTTTAAATGAAGATATGAGAAGCAAAGCCGTATCAAACCACCATTGGCTACGTATTTTTTTTCACTACATTCATGTGTGTTCATCAATTATGTTGTAAAATTAAGCATAGAATTGAAATATTATCGAAATTTATGTATTTATGAGCTCGTTAAGTTATCTATCAATATTAAACCGGTGTGGACGGTATTTTGACTTAGTGCAGGTGCTATATATATATATACAAAGTGGTCCTAGGCATAAAATTGACTAGTTGCGTCAATGATCCATGTGCATTAACTGACAAGTAAAACTCCAGGATTTGAGATCATTTTGCAAAATAGTTTCTCTGTCCCTAAATAACCGTTGTTTTTTATTTTTGTGATGTAAGTTCGACTAGATTTATAGAAAATGTGTGCAATATTTATAACTCCAAATAAATTTATTATAAAAATAGATTCAACGATCTATCTAATGATATTAATTTTATACCATAAATATTATTATTATTTT